AGTGTAGCAACTGCCTCCTGTTGCCATTGGACAATGAGTGAGCTCACTGTAAGTAGGTCATACCTACAACTACCTTATTTTCTATAGGCTTTCACAAACAAATAGATGAATCAAAATAAGTATTTCCATAGGTGATAAGAGGGAGCTTGCATGTTCTATTGAGTACTGACCGACAAGGCATAATTAGGATAACATTCTTATTTATGCCAGGGCAAAATAATGGAGTTGTCTAACGAATGATGATTGATGAATCCTTTTGTTCTTCTCTTTCTTTTTCTTTTTCCATCCATGCAGCCGTTTAATCCGTCATTTTTAAGTAGTCAAACAGCTATAGATCATAGGAGTAGCAGTTAGTGGTCCAAGATGTAAGAGGGCCGTGACAACTTTGGCACACTTGGCCTAAGTCAACTGCTATAAAAACTGCTCGAAAATGAAATAGCAACTAGAGTCAGTTCTTTCAACTTAAATAGAGATTTGTGGTATTGTTTTCTAAAATTTTTAAAAAAGAAATTTGTCTGTATTTAGGATATTGAAATCATGATATTTTTTATGAGATTTGTTTTCCCTCACACACATTTATAGGTCACTGCGCCAAATCAGCACTGATGGCCCAAACCGTCAATTGTGACAGGTAAGGCTCTCGTCAGAGATGACTGATTAGTAATGACTCTACCTCATCTTTAATGGATGAAGGCCCGTCAGTGGAGGTAAATATTTGTGATGAGTAGTAACAAACACCCGACAATGAGGCTGTTCACCTGTGATGGGATGGTATTTTAGCTTGCCATCGAGGACACTTGTCTAAGGTGGGTTATAATTACAACCTAGTATCATATATGCATATGATGGGATAAACAAAATTCAGCTCACACGCTAGTATCCGTCACTGGTGCAGATTACCGATGGAGAAAAAAAAAAGAGGGAAAAGTCCATTTTACACCCTCGAACTCTTGTGCTTATCTAAAATACACCCCCGAACTACAAAACCGGATATAATACACCCTCGAACTGTCAATACCGGACACTTAACCCCCCAGACTGTTTTTACCGTGGTTTTTGCCACGTCGGATACCACGTCAGCCCTAGCCACGTCAGCGCAAAACATAAAATGGGCCAAGCCCATATTCTCTCCCCCCCTCTCTCTCTCTCCCTCTCTATCTCTCTCTCCCTCCCTACCCTGTTCGCTCTCCTCTCTCACAACCGTTGGCGGCAGAGGTGGCAGCGCGGAGCTGCGAAATCGACGGCTACGGCAGCTGCGTAGAGCTGCGAGGGCGGCGGCTGCGGCGTCGGCGTGGAGCCGCGAGGGTGGTGGCGGCGGGGAGCTGGTGTGAGGCCGGCGGCGCTGCGAATCATGAGCTTGATGCCCCTCGCGGAAGAGGCCAACCTCGCCTGAGCCATACGCGCGGGGAGGAGTCATCCCTATGCAGTGCCGCCACCGCTTGGTCGAGGACGAGGTCGAGCTCAAGCTCTGCATCCGCCGCCGCCTCGTCAAGCTCGAGTTCCACCGGCGAGCTCGATTCATGGAGAAGATGGAGTCATGGAGCTCCTGGAGGCGGCAGGAGAGGTGGACCTTTGAGCTTGTGCTCGTCGGTGGTCGGCGCGGAAGGGAAGGCTGGGGATGTGCTTGAGCTCCGTCGCCGCAACGAGTTCCCTGCTCCACGGCCACCGATCTCCTGCTCAGCTCCACCACTGCTCTCTGTCTGGGAGGAAGAAGGATGGAGAGAGAAAGGGAAGAGGAGATGGGGGAAGAAGAAGTGGCTACTGACGTGTGGCTCTAATTTTTATTTTTAGTTTTATTTGCTGACTAGACTTCCACATCATTGACACGTAGACAAAAACCAGCTGAAAAACTACTTGAGGGTGTAAAGTGAACGGTATTGAAAGTTGGAGGGGGTGAAATATCTAGTTTTAGAGTTTTGGGTGTATTTTAGACAAGACAAAGAGTTGGAGGGTGTAAAATGGACTTATCCCCAAAAAAAAGAGAACATCACAATCCGGGCTCGTTGCCATTGCATTTGTCACGATCACAAATTCACACAGGAAGGATGGCAAGAAATACATCACACCATAAATTTATTTGCACTCTGGAAAATGATTACGAATCGACAATCTGGGCGCCTCAAGAGATGCTAGGGGTAGAGGAGGGGATGGTGCTGGGACGTTGAGAGATGGCGACAGGAGCCTGGCATCGGTTCGAGCCACCATGAGGTCGAAGGCCATAAGATCAGGTGTCCCTCTGACCTCGGGAAGGCTGGATCTGCGATTCTTAGGGCAGCGGACCATGCTTAGGAGTAGAGCCAGAATGCAACGCCATTGGTGCTCAACAACGGTGGTGGAGATGACACTGGCGAGGCTCTTGGGGATAAAGGAGTCGACACCGGTAGGCGACACATGGGGATGGAGGAGGCGGTGTCTAGCGGTTAAATCTATGTCCCCCGACCCTGACCTCGTAGAGGATGGATCCGATGGTCGGGGGACAAAGGAGGCGACACTTGCATCATGGTGGATGGGAAAGAGGATTCAAGCCTTTAGGGGCAGAGGAAGAAGAAAGAGAGAGAGAGGAGGGGATGGAGGAAGAAGGGATAAGGACGAGACGGGGAGGGAGAGAGAGACTCATTAAGGGAGGGGAGTTGTTTTATTTGATTTTTTAGGTCATTACTAACGTGTTAAAAAATACTCTCATCACAGATGAGTACCTCATCCGTGACGGGTGTAAACTCAACACCTGTAACATACAAGAGATCATCTGTAACGGGTCTATATGTGAGCTCGTCAAATATGTTTTGTGCTGAGTCTCCATCACAGATGAGTCCTTCCCTATAACAGATTAACAGACCGTATCCCTAAGCTTCATCTAGATGGGCCGATGTGGCGTAGTCGGTCGCTTATTGGACCCAGCCCACTAATCAAGCCATAAAAAGTCTTTCCTACCTTTTTTAGGGAAGGAATAAGTACACTGAAGATCCCTCAACTTGTCATTGAGTTACAAAATCGTCATCCATTCACAAAACCGGATATATGACGTCATCCATTCACAAAACCGGATATATGACATCTCTCAACTTACAAAAACCGTTCAATCTAGCTCCTTTAGTGGTTTTGACCCTGGTTTTATCCTACGTGTCAGCTGAGTCAGCGTGGAACCCACGTAGGACCCATATGTCAAGATGCCCACGTCATCACCCTCTCTCTCACTCCTCTTCTCTGGGCAACCGGGAAAGCCGGCCGGCGAGGCGGGAGAGGAGGCGGTGGCTGCTGCAACGCGGCTGAAGGCGAGGGCGGCGGCCGGTCGCGAATGGTGTCGACAGCGATGTGTGGCCGCCGGCGACGAAGCGGCCCCGCACGGGCGGGCGCCGCGGCGTTGGCCACGGAGGTGGAGGCGGGGAAGGGCGCCGCGGCGGTGGCCGCGGAGGTGGAGCCGTGGAGGCGGGGTCGAGCACCGTGGAGCTGGACTCGGAGCCCCGGCCTGCTCTCGCGCCGCATCCTCCCTTTCTCAGCGTCGGGAGCGTCGTCGTCGTCGTCGGGCGGCTTGTCTGGGCAAGCCGGCCGGCGCTGCTAGGGAGGAGGCCGCTGGGGCGAGGCGGGAGAGGGGGCGGCGGCGGCGTCTACGGCGCTGTGTCGCAGCCAGCGGCGAAGCGGCCCCGCGCCGGCGGGCGCCACGGCGTTGGGCGACGAGGAGAACGGCGGAGCAGGCGAGCAAGGCGGGCAGCGACCTCGCTCTCGCGTGCGGCGTCGGCGTCGTCTTCATCCTCCGCAGCGAGCTCCCAGGCGACGAGGCTGCTCATCACCCGGAGGCGCTCGGCGTCGCCGCGACGAGGCTGCTCATCACCCTATCAGCGCACATGGGGCACACCATCGCCGAGAGGCTCTGCAAGACGCAGGGCCAGCCGAGGAGCGCCGGCTTGTCGCCGCGGGCTGGGGATGAGAGCCAACGCCAGCGGAGGAGGCGTACGAGGGGCGGAGGGCCGCGCTGCTGCGGGCGGTGGTCGTGGGCGCGACATGTGAAAGGATTTTTTAGCTCGCCATTAAGGAATAAAGTAAGAAACGCGTACTCTCTATATAAAATGAGTACGTTCACCGACGTGAAAGGAATTTTTAGCTCGTCATTAAGAGCTTAAGAAAGTTACTTGGAATTCTTTGGTTTGTTGACAATCACGATTCATGACAAAAGAAGATTGAGAGCCTACGGGTGCACGCCAGCGCGCTGCTCTCACTGTCGTCACCCGCGTGGCCACGTCGATGGCACCGACGTCGTCGTCGACGCCGGCGGGCAGCAGGGCGCTGGCGGCGGAGGGGGTGTTCGAGTGCAAGACGTGCAACAAGTCGTTCCCGTCGCTCCAGGGGCTGGGCGGGCACCGGACAAGCCACACGCGGCTGCAGGCGAAGCTGCTGAGCGACCCCGCCGCCGCAGCGGCCGAGAGGGACAGGGCACGCATCCACGAGTGCGCCGCGTGCGCGGGGTCGAGTTCTCCATGGGGCAGGCGCTCGGCGGCCACATGCGCCGGCACAGGGGCGAGACGGGCACGACGACCGTCGTGCTCACGGCCGCCGACGTCGACGACTCGGGCGGCGCCACCGTGCCGCAGCCGCCGGAGGCCATGCTGGACCTGAACTACCCGCCGCCAGTGGCAGTTCCTCCCTCGCCGGCCGCTGCCCGCGCCCGCCGCTCGGCCGCGCCCATCTGCTCTCTGCCAGCCGCCTGTGGTCCGTGGAGAGGGGAGGAGAGAGAGGAAGAGAGATGGTGAGGGGAGGGAGGAAGAGGCTGACATGTGGGACCCACGTGGGTCCCACGCTGATTGGGCTGCCACGTCAGACAAAACTAGAGTCAAAGTTTACACTGGTTTTATAAATTGGGGTACGTGTTGTATCGGGACGATTTTGTAACTCGGTGACAAGTTGAGGGACCTCCGGTGTACTTTTTCCTTAGGGGAATGCCTAAGGTCTAAGCCATTGCTAAAGGCTAATCTTCGATGTCATCAAATTAAAGCCCATGGGCCATGGATATAGGAGGACTTTTGGCCCACTCGGCCAGCTTCCGCTGCGGCCCTGCCTGCCTGCCTCTTGAACCGCGTGGCGCCGCCGCCGCCGCCGGGATTCACAAAACCAACGGAGCATACGGACTAGAATCTTCGCCGCTCGCCGCCGCGGGGACCAATGGAGCGCGCAGTGCGGGAGCTGTGGGCGGAGTCGCGGGACCTGCTGGGCCTCCACTCCCCGGACGACGCCGCCGCCGCCGACGCCGCGATGCCCCGCGCCGAGATGCCCCCGACGCCGCTCGCGTTTCTCCGCGACCACGTCTCGCCGGGGCGCCCTCTCCTCGTGTCCTCCGCCGCCACCAGCCACTGGCCGGCCGCCTCGCTGTGGCCGACCGACTCCTACCTCACCGACGCGCTCCGCTCCACCGCCGTCTCGCTCCACCTCACCCCCGACGGCCGCGCCGACGCCCTCGCCCCGCACCCGCGCCCGAGCCACCCCGGCGCCAAGTGCTTCGCCTCCGCGCACGTCCGCCAGGTCGACTTCCCCACCGCCGTGCGCCTCATCCGGAGCTCCGATCCGGCCTCCGGCCTGGTGGCCTACGCGCAGCAGCAGGACGACTGCCTGCGCGGGGAGTACGCCGCCGTCGCCGGCGACGTGGACGCGCACGTGCCCTGGGCCAGCGACGCGCTCGGCTGCCTCCCCGAGGCCGTCAACCTCTGGATCGGCAGCGCCTGCTCCCAGACCTCCTTCCACAAGGACCACTACGACAACATCTACGTCGTCGTCTCCGGCGAGAAGCACTTCCTCCTCTTGCCCCCCACCGAGCACCACCGCCTCTACGTCCGCGACTACCCCGCCGCCCACTACGCCGCGGAAGATGAAGCGGAGCTGAGGCTTAAGCTGGAGCTGGAGGAGCCCGAGAGGATCGTGCCATGGAGCAGCGTTGACCCCTACCCGCCGTCGCCGGAGGAGGCGGCCGCGCAGGCGTCATCCTTCCCGCTCTACTTCGAGGGGCCGAGGCCGATCCGCTGCACGGTGCGCGCCGGCGAGATGCTCTACTTGCCGAGCATGTGGTTTCACCATGTGAGCCAGAGCCCCGGGCCGAACGGGCTCACCATTGCAGTGAACTACTGGTATGACATGCAGTTTGACATTAAGTATGCCTACTTCAACTTCTTGAGGTCATTGGAGATCGATGGTAGTTCGTCGAAAAAGACGGATGCTTTGGAAGACGATCTCGAGGAGACGAATGATTGAATTGAAATTTTTGCGGTAATTCTGGATCTATGCAGAATATAACTTGATTCAATTGTTGTGACTTGTGAGCATTGTCAGTTTAATGTTTTGGAGGCAGAGGTCAGGGCATAGATCTTGATAACCTGTGTTTATGTTGTACCAATTTTCAGGGCCAAATGGCTTATCAGGTTTGATTTAGTTTCAGAGTCAACATATTGATGTCAACTTTAAAATTTTTTATTCAGATATAGGAAGGTGAATTTTGTCTAAGATTTACTCTCCACTAGTCATGCTTACATTATGCAGGTCTGAGAAATGGCCATCTTATGTGAATTATGCATGTTTTAGTGCCAGATGGATCAGATGTTGACAGAATGAATATCAAGCAATTACATCTTCTGAATCTGTGAGTGTTGTGTCCGGTATCATAAACTTGATGCCAACTCTAGATTGCAAATACATACTATATTCATCTTTACTCCTATTTATGAGAACTAGTTTAATTTCAATTCCTAGACATGGTCTTTTGTTTACCTGTTGTTGTGATAACATATTGTCATCCTTATTACTGAACAAGTGAACATGCAATGCTTTCTATTACTCAACAATCAGATAATTCACTGTGCAATTTCCAGAACTGTTAGTTTTATTCCCAAATGTAGGATTTCACGAGCATTCCGCACAACATTTCCATTTGTTCAGCTAGCTTGTGTGATATGTAAAGTACAGTATTACAACCTCCTGGTTTCTGCCGTGTGCCAATAATAACTAGCAAATGAAATAGCTCAATCCAGAATAAGAATGCAATGACAAAATTATAAATAGTAGACATGTAAAAAAAAATATTGCTGCAAAACTGTTGTGCTTCAGGCTGCCTTGGCCAGCTCCCTGTCCACAGCCACCTTGAGGAAGCTGCCTTCCTCCACCACCATCTGAACAGGCAGGAACCCGAGCCCATTGGCGACGGCGAGCATCACCTCCTTCATCTCGGCCCGGAACTCCTCCAAGTCCACCGTGCCATTGCCGTCGTGGTCGAACCGCGCATACAAGCCACGGTACATCTCCACGAGTTCATCGGAGCTCATGGCGGCCTCATCAACACCGAAATGCTTCTCAAGGACCCTGAGGCTCATGAGCTCCTTTGCCATCTCCGAGTAGGAGAGGAGGCCGTCACGGTTGGTGTCGAGGGCGGCGAACCGGCCATCGACGGAGGAGTTGAAGGCGCCCTCGTCCTCGACGAAGCTCCTGATGGTCTTGCCGTCAAGGATTTCTACACTCATGTTGCCGGCTCTACAAAATGTGGCGGTCTCAGAGATGTTTTTGGTGTGTAGCAGATGAGTGCTACAAAATGTGGTTGTATCAGAGATGTTTGTGTCTTTGTTCTAGTACTTTGGTTTGAGCAAATGTTGAGCTTGTAACTTCTACTTATATAGAGAGGCGTAGCAGCTGGTTTTGGAGCCACTATGACCGGCAACATGGTATGGGGCATTTCCAGTGCAATGTTCCCAACCCCTACTGCCTTCGGCGTTGTTGATGATTTTACACTTTCAAATGGAAGATTCGGCTGTGTACTTGTGTGCTACGCCATGATTTGCCTCTAAACCAATGGATGTGTTAGCACCTGGTTTCATTAAAAGCGGCAAAAATGATGGACGACGATGCCTTAAGAAGTCGGTGGTTAGATGCACCGGTAAAGCCTAGCCCACTGGTATTGACGCCCGCGTTTTCTGTTGGACTCGTGACCACAAGAGTCAATCCCGGTTGGACTCTGCTGGATTCTGATAGTGTTTGCTTGCCAGTTTTCAATTGGAATGTCTAGATTCTACCATGTCGGCTGATAATTATAGATTAACCCTTTTTTAAAATAGTTTATCTAGATTTACTAGTCCGATTAACAGGTTGCTCAATGCTTCATACGTAGTTGGCCGCAATTTCGTCATTGCAAACAGTTCATCACATTGGCAGATGTGGCAACGAGTTAAATAACCAGATCAACCAGAACAGCATGAATAAAAGGGAGGAGATTAAAAATTTACTACTAGTAACGATAACTTCTTCATTCAGAGTGATGATAGAGGGTTCAACATCCCAGTCGCAGCTTCGCAGGGTTACAACTTCTTTAAGCAACAACCCAGAGCTCTCAAGCGTACTAAGTACCACAACTACTTCTAGACTACGGACATAACATGGTAGCTGGGCATACGAAGTTCCAAGAGATTAACAACTACGGAGTACTTCTAAACTGGACATAACATGGTAGCTGCGCACACGGAGATCCAAGAGATTGATTCAGCTGGTGAACACTTTCCAGTGCCTCACGCTATCGAAAGCGAGTTGATGAACTTCTTCTTCAACCTCAGCTGAAAAAGAATAATAGAAATGGGAACAAATCAGACATTCCGAGTTTCCGACCAAAGTTGAACAAACACTGTAATTGTACGGCTTGCTCTGCATTTGTGAGGGGAAAAAAACTGTACAGCGTGTATTGCAACCGATGCAGAACACAGTAATCACTAGAATAAACACAATTCAAAGGCAAACCACTGAACTGAATTGGTGTTCAGACTGATGCGACTCTATCCAAATTTCCAAATCCGTGACAAGCGCACACGGAGGCAACCAATGACGATTTCAAATTTCCAATACAAAGTACAGGAGTATGACAACTATCTAAGACAAATTCATCTCCAGCATTCAGACCAAAGCAAAGCCAAGAACATGAACAATGGTGTGTTCACATACGAAGAGGAACTTTAGAAATGCTCACCTCCTTGCTGTGGCCACACTTCTTCTTGCGGCAGTGGTGAGACCTGATGGGAAGGCGTGCATAGCACCTGCATCAGGAGATGGAACAGGGTTGAAATCAAATCAGTTCATGTTAGCCGCGGATGCAAAGCTAGTATCATCTGGAATCAAGGTGCGGGCGGGCGGGGGCGTGCGTGAGTTCGTACTTGCGGCAGACCTTCTTCTTCTCTCTGTACTTGAGCGCAAGAGCCCGGAGGGTGGGCTCCTGGATGGTGTAGCCGCCCCTGCTGCCGCCGCGGAGGCGGAGCACCAGGTGCAGCGTCGACTCCTTCTGGATGTTGTAGTCGGCCAGGGTGCGGCCGTCATCCAGCTGCTTCCCGGCGAAGATGAGGCGCTGCTGGTCCGGCGGGATACCTGTACGGGTTGTGCAGAGATGGATACAGTTCATCAGCTTAAACAGCAGAGAGATTCGACCATGCGCACACACGGATTCAACAATTTCCAGCTTAGCAGAGCGTGATATGAAATTAACACTACCGGAGGATCAAATCAATACAGCATGTAAAAGGATACAGAACGTTTTAGGAATCGATTCAAGTAGTTCGAATCAGATTATAAAACAACATACTTTTTTGCTTATTGTAACAAGAAAACAGGGGACCTTTTAGATCTAGTTAACCGTGCAGTATAGCGTGACAGTTATAAAAAAAATCGCCTCCAGAGAAATTGGAAAGGAACTATTCAATCGGAAGGTTTTGGGTTTTTATACGCTTTTCAAGATGGATCTACTCTGTTACAGATCTAAAAAAATGGTAGAAAAGCAGCAACATTGGATGGGCGATACTACTAGAGTTCACGCATTTTGCTCAGTATTCCACTAAACCCACAAAAACTTGCAACTGCTATACATCCGACCCTATTGTTCGACCCTGTCCGACCCTGCCGTATCTGCTAATCAATTTACTCCAACGAGCCAGCTGCTCTCCATGTGGGCCAGAGCAAGGAGCAGGTAAGTACTGGTCGGATGCTAAGTCGTACATACCAGTCGGACGTTTAACAATTCCCTATATCCACAGCGCATAAACTCCACTAAACCCACAGATTTGCACACAAACACAGTAACATATCAGCATATCGAGCACACCAAACAAAGCAGCAATCCGACCCTATTGTTCGACCCTGTCCGACCCTGCCGTATCTGCTAATCAATTTACTCCAACGAGCCAGCTGCTCTCCATGTGGGCCAGAGCAAGGAGCAGGTAAGTACTGGTCGGATGCTAAGTCGTACATACCAGTCGGACGTTTAACAATTCCCTATATCCACAGCGCATAAACTCCACTAAACCCACAGATTTGCACACAAACACAGTAACATATCAGCATATCGAGCACACCAAACAAAGCAGCAATCAATGCAGGTCAGCGAGAATGGGGAGGGCTAGGAATGGAGAGACGGCGAGTCGGCGACCATGGCCGGTGCGAGCATACCTTCCTTGTCCTGGATCTTGGCCTTGACGTTGTCGATGGTGTCGCTGCTCTCCACCTCCAGCGTGATCGTCTTCCCCGTCAGCGTCTTCACGAAGATCTGCATCTTGCCGCCGTCGAACGATCTCCCCGCGCTCTCGCCGATCGGTGGAGTGGTGGTGGTGGTGGTGGAGTGGTGCGCCGCGCCGCAGTCGTGGTCACCCGCTCTTATATATGGGCGAGGAAACGCAGCCGCCACGAAAGCGAAATATCCCATAAAAATAAATAGAAAAAGAAAAGGAAAATAGGAAACGCAGCCGCTACGAAACCTATAAATGTCGTAAGAAAAAAAAAAGATGAAAAAGAAAAGAGAGAGGAGGAAACGCAACCGCCACGAAACCGAACCACAGGATTGACACGTGGCACGAGTACGGGCCCATGGAGAGCTACAGGCTTCTGGCTATTGGGCTGGTCCGTGTATATGGCCCAAGCAGACACGGCTTAAATTGTGGAATTTTTTTTATTTATACATTTTTTTATTAAAATATTTACAAAAATAATTTTTTGTTTCGAAAATTTACAAATTTAATTGCCTGCCGCCCTTAAGAAGGGCGATTTTTAAAAATCGCCCTCTCAAAGGGCGGCAAGGGACCTAAATACAAAATTTTTATTTGTGATCAAACCCTTCCCACCGGTTTTAATTGCTTAAAAACTAATAATGCTTATTCGATACTCCAAATGATTTTAAATGGAAAAGTGATAAACTACAAAGTTATAGATCTCATCAAGATCTACAACTTTATATAAAGTTTATCTCCATCCAATGTCGTTTGAAATGTAGATCTGAGATTTTTTAAAATGTGTTTTATATTTTGTAACGAATATTTGGATATCTAAAACATCTTAAATGAAAAAGTTATTAACTACAAAGTTGTAGATCTCCTTGAGCTCTACAATTTTGATATAAAGTTTTATTTCATCTGACTTTATATAATATAATTTTAAATTGTAAAATTATAGAGCTAACAAGTTATGCTGGAAAATTTACATTTAGGTCCCTTGCCGCCCTGTGGAAGGGCGATTTTTAAAAATCGCCCTCCCAAAGGGCGGCAGGCGATTAGATTTGTAAATTTTCAAAACAACAAATTATTTTTGTAAATATTTTAATAAAAAAAAGTATAAATAAAAAAAATTCTTAAATTGTGCAGTAAAATTCTAAAAGAAAATTTGGAAAATTGATTTAGTCACGGAGTTCAACTTGTGAATTCACCGTTTATATTACTGATGTAATCCAAAATCCCAAAACTGGTATTTCATTTCCTCACGTAGACATCCGTACAAGATCAACTATCTTCTTTTATGCTAGGCAAAATAATAATAATAAAAGACTAGTGATTTGAGAATAACATGAAAAAACTAATGCATTATTACACCGTGTATCCTTCCGTGTATATATAAGTAATTAAGTATCAATGAAATTACTCAATAGAGTGGCCTTCTAGTTATCTAAAAAGAATAATGAATCACAACAAAATCGTGGAAGTGTAAAATATGAAACTCCTTTTTTGCTCTGTAATTAGTTCAGTTTAGGCAGCTGCTCCGGCGAGCTCCCTGTCGACGGCCACCTTGAGAAAGCTGCCTTCCTCGACGACCATCTGCACCGGCAAGAACCCTAGCCCGTTGGCGACGGCGAGCAACACCTCCTTCATCTCCGCCCGGAACTCCTCCAGGTCGACGCCGCCGCTGCCGTCGCGGTCGAACCGCGCGAACAGCCCGCGGTACAGCGCCGCGAGCTCGTCGGCGCCCATGGCGGCCTCGTCTTCGTCGGCGCCGAAGTGCTTCTCCAGCACGCGGAGGCTCATCAGCTCCCCGGCCATCTCGGCGTAGGAGAGCACGCCGTCGCGGTTGGCGTCGAGCGCGGCGAAGCGGCCGTCGACCGAGGAGTTGAAGGCGCCCTCGTCCTCCACGAAGCTCCGCACCGTCTTGCCGTCGAGGATCTCCACGCTCATGGTGGCGGATGCTAATTAAACTGGAGTAGCACTGGATGTGTAGAGAAGCTCAGAGTAAGTGAGACTCGGTTTGCTTGGAGTGGAGTGGCTAATTTGAGTGGAGATCGATGCTTGCGAGTGCTGTTTATATAGGGGAGAGTTTACTAATGGAATTGATCGAGTGGTACGCTAGCTGCCAATTGCCGACCGGCTTCAGCTTGGCGCGTGGTGGTCTAGTGGATGCGTGGGACGGGCCAATGGGTTTTGGTCTTTTGGAGAGAGTCGTATGCTATGGGCATGAGACACATGACTTGCCTGGAAAGCAACCAATGTTATAGGCGAACGACTGCGTCGGTATTGACGTGCACTGATCTGTGTAGATACCGGGAATCAGGAGTCGGTCACGGTTGGGATCTGGATGACTTAGTAGAAATTCTGGTGATCTTTGCCAGGATTTCTGTGGATTGATTAGCCGAATTTTGAACATGATTCCCTTAGTAAGTACGGAGTAGGCGTGGCGTGGCTGTTGCAACTAGCGGAATCGAGTTCTAATAGCTACTTGGATCGGTTTTATGTATGTTTCTTAAAAGGAATTGATACATTAAACAAGGAATTGATACATTATTTTTGAAAAAAAAACACACGCACAAAATAGAGCGACATTACGCTTTGATATATAAATTCAAGTTTACATCCTTGGGAAAAAAAAAACAACCACACCACATCAATGTTTTATGTTTACAGTAATAGCTAATAGTACTATAATAATCTTGTTTTGCCTGCCGAAATTCTCAAACGAACATATGTTGTGAACTAGCCTTACAGAAAAGAATAACAGGGGAAACACTATGTCAAACGTTCATGGTGAGGCAAAAAAAATAACAGGGGAAGCATTTATGGCAAACGTTCATGGTGTTTAGTGCCCTAGCGCCACGCCGCCATCAATAGAAACGGGAAGCACTCGTGGGGTTGCCAGCAAAACAAACGGCGGAAGCATTATTTGTGTACTGGAGTCATAGATTATTTTTTTTATCACTAGGAACTTACTGAGATTAATAATCTATCATTGATGACCTCAGTTAATTCGAATGTGTTGAATTATATTTAGTGAGATTAGTCATTTGCCATTGATGACCTTGGTTAATTTGAATGTGTTGACTTTTGTGAGATCGGGCAAGTTATCTTGGCCAAAGTTGGAAATTTCGGTCATTTCAGACCTCTCCAATACATTATTATTTTGGCTGAAATTTTCTAACTTTTTATTTTTTTCGTAAATTTTGGTAATATTTGTTCAAATACAACTAAATTTTATTCAAAATTTCAAAAATTTCAGAAATTTTGGTGAGGTCTGATCAAATCAGCTAAACCACGAAAGGTTTATTCCTGATCTTCGCATCTGCTAGTCTTCGCTGGGATTATATATGTGAGTTTGGAACATGCCCACTCCTTCCGTTTCCTATTATATTATATATAAGAGGTTCTAAATCAAACTTCTCTAACTAGTTTCTCGTAACATTCATGCAAAAGAAAGGAAATTAAGCAACCGTAAACGAAATTAGGTGTCTCGCAGTAGGGGCGTATATAGAGATTTGAACAAGTAAAAACTTCAAACCAAATCTCAAAAACAGAAAAGTAGGGGCGTATATAGAGATTTGAACAGTAAAAACTTCTAACCAAATCTCACAAACAGAAATAGCATAAGCAGCCAGGCTAACATTTATGAAGACTCTTTGACTCAACTGATGCTAACATATGAGCTAATAACTGAATAGGAAGACTCTTCGACTCAACTGATGCATGACAACTCTTTTATTCAGTTGGCAGTCTTGGATATAAACCTCTTCTTTGGCCTTATCTGAAAATTCAGATGGAAGAAAACAACATTAGGTCAGCCGTACAACCAACGTACGGCAATGTATACAAATCGAAAAAAATAACATGTACAAATAGTGGATGGATTTTATATCTATTATATAAAAAAAATTCGTTTCATATTATAAAACTTTATAGCATTGTCCATATTCATATAGATGTTATATGTCTAGATTCGTTAACATACATATGAATATAGACAATGCTAAAAAAGACTTATAATATAAAACGGAGGGAGTAACACGAATCCGTGTACATGACTGATGCAACCAAACGACCAATTTTGAAAACAAACTATCTAAAAACGTTAAAACATTTCTTTGACGACAAAACTAAGTAAAAGGACCACTTCACCTGGTTGGTGTGGCCACACTTCTTCTTGCGGCAGTTGGTAGACCTGGCGGGAAGGCGTGCGTAGCACCTGCGGTTAGGAACTTAATTAGGATGCATCGTGGAACAGGAATACACGTACGAATTAAGCGTTAAAATTCAAAGCTGAGATCTTTGTTAGTAAGCATTCCGTAAAGTTTCTTTTTTTAAAAAAAAAATTATATAGCATTAGTCAAACAGGATCAAGATGAGTTCGTACTTGCGGCAGACCATCTTCTTCTCGTTGTACTTGAGCGCCAGGAGCAGGAGGCTGGGCTCCTGGATGGTGTAGCCGCCCCTGCTGCCGCCGCGGAGGCGGAGCACCAGGTGCAGCGTCGACTCCTTCTGGATGTTGTAGTCGGCCAGGGTGCGGCCATCCTCCAGCTGCTTCCCCGCGAAGATGAGGCGCTGCTGGTCCGGAGGGATACCTATATATACAACAGTGAAAGAGATATGAATGAATTTTAGCTAGTCGAATGGGCTCGGAAGTTAATATTAATCCATGAAAACAAGAAAAAAGAGTCTTTAATTACAGTTATGCAGCAATGTCATCGATGAAGGCACTCCCTATCAAGAGATAAAAGATACTAGCATATCTTTTTAAACTACTAAGACAGAATAGAAACATGTACACAGCGAAGACGAACTATAAGCAGATGGCTAGATTGGATTTGTTGCTCCGTGCTTACTGCGACTAAACACACGCATGCTTAGACCTATGTAATGTAATGGAAAAGTACAAGGCTTCCTTTTTGGTTATCAAATCGATCTAATCTACAACTACAATATTGAACAATTTCGGCAGTATCAACCCACCACGCATCTAGTGCAAAACACATGATTTCTACTGTCTAGACGCACAAGAGCACGACGTACGAAACAAAGGATGAGTCACTAAATTAACGGGACGAGCAATGCCAGCAAATGTACGGCGTACGTACGTGCAGTCGATCATCGCGAGACGACATCAAGACATCAACGATTAAACAAGATGAACATGCAAACGAAGAAGCTAGGGATATCATCTTGATATCGTGTTATATTACCTTCCTTGTCCTGGATCTTGGCCTTGACGTTGTCGATGGTGTCGCTGCTCTCCACCTCCAGCGTGATCGACTTCCCCGTCAGCGTCTTCACGAAGATCTGCATCTTGCCTCTCTCTCTCTCTATATGCGTCGAACGATCTCTCTCTCGTGTAGATTTGGGTAATAACTTGCAGAAACGCTGCCTTTATATAAGGGAGGAGGAGACGCGGCCGCTACGAAACCTGTATTAATAATATCGCAACTACTAATAAAATTCGGAAACAGAAAGGAGATAAATCGCACGATTCGGAAACGGGAGCGGCATTTGCGCTACGTGAGTTCGTGGCCACTACGGAATTGATGAGATCGTGTCATGGGCTCTCTCGTCTGCCTACGGCCCAGATCAGCCCACGAAGAGTTAGAGGCCCAAATATTTTATTGTTCCTGACGTGGCGCTCAGAATCCAAAGCCTGGCAGCTAGCATGGGTTCAAAATTTCGGATCGAACCCAGATACGACATTATTTCGACCGATTTTTTTTTCATTTTTTTTGTAAATTTGATAATATTTTGTTTAATTTAATCAAATTTTGTTCAAAAATTCATATAATTTCGAACCGAAATTTCTGAAATTTCGATATTTCGGGCACCCTGGTCCAAATGACCAAACCGAAAGATGAAACCCTGGTATCTAGTAGACACACACAAGCTTTCAAACCGATTCTCTTGATCAAAACTGGTTTTTTATATCATATTATCTTTGTCTATCTCAAAGAGCACAGTTACACAAGTAACAATGAAATATAGCTCAACAGAGGCTATCAAATAACAATGATCAATATTGTGAACACAAGATATATCAATTAAAATCGTAGCTGTGTGAAAATTTAAATGCTCGCCGGTTCAGGTATATTAATTTAAGCAGCTTTGGCCAGCTCCCTGTCGACGGCCACCTTGAGAAAGCTGCCTTCCTCGACGACCATCTGCACCGGCAGGAACCCGAGGCCATTGGCGACGGCGAGCAGCATCTCCTTCATCTCGGCCCGGAACTCCTCCAGGTCCACCGCGCCATTGCCGTCGCGGTCGAACCTCGCGAACAGGCCACGGTACAGCTCCACGAGCTCGTCGGCGCCCATGGCGGCCTCGTCGTCGACGCCGAAGTGCTTCTCCAGCACGCGGAGGCTCATCAGCTCCCCGGCCATCTCGGTGTAGGAGAGGAGGCCGTCGCGGTTGGCGTCGAGCGCGGCGAAGCGGCCGTCGACCGAGGAGTTGAAGGCGCCCTCGTCCTCCACGAAGCTCCGGACCGTCTTGCCGTCGAGGATCTCCACACTCATGATGGCGATGATTCTTTAGCTAAGCAGCAGAGGAAGTTTTTGGTTGGCTTTGGTTGATGAATCATAGTGAAGCTGGTGAATGGAATTTATAGGTGCTCGATCTTCAGCGAAAAAGTACGCGGACGTAGCAGCTGGTTTTGCAAGTCGGCGATGGTGAGCTACCACCATACTAGTCCACTACTATGGCGTGCGTGACCAATTTATTCAGTACCAAGCGGATCGGTGACTTTGCCGGTGCTATGGGCGAAGTCAGTACAGTGTAGTGGAGGGAGCCAACCGATGCTTCCGTTGGTTGGTTGGCTCCGGGCCGGCGGTTTGCGAATTTGCGACGGTTGTGGCGGCAAAATGGGCAACACGTACGGGACGAGGATATCGCGCAGAATATGCGGAGTGGGCAGCCAGACGCGCATGAATGATTTCGTCGGCCCGAAACTGTGGGCTTAGTGGCTTGTATGTGGAGATGATACCCCAACGGACAAGGCCGCGCCGGCGCACCCAATGTCGGCAAAGTTCGATGAGAGCGGTCTGCTCTTATATGGATTCTAATCACCCGGGTAATTAAAATAGTTTCCCCGGTTTACTTAGGGTATGTTCAATGGTAGAGACAAGTATGGTCTCTTAAACAATATAAGATTATTTAGAGACCATATCTTTATAATAGTTGAGTCGATAAAGGCTTTAATCATTAACTCAAAAAATATTTCATTTGTTAATATTCTTTCCATTTTTTTACCCTCATGCAACCATATTTCCATATTATAGTGATTAAGAGTCGTTGTTAAGCTGTTGTCATGCATAACAACGATGTTTTGTCTCTCCTATTTCTCTTTCTTCCATATCAATAAGTATTCCTAATTAGCAACGCTAAGAGACCACTATTAACAACCATTGTACATGCCCTTACTTAGAGGGTCTTTTGAAACAAAAGAATTTTGGAGGAATTTTGCAGGGTTTAATTCGTGGAATGTTTATAAACATGTTTGTTCGGAGTAAAGGAATAGTCATTTCAAAATCCTAGGATTTTCTCAAATCATAAGGATTTTGAAAGTTTTTCAACATAAGATCCAACCTCTTGAAAAATTTACATTGTATCATCTAATTCTTATACTTTTCATACGTTACTCTGTATCTATAAATCTCTTCTAATTCTTGCATTTTTCATACGTTATTTTGTGTAATTCCTGTATTTTTCATACGACTCCATCCAAACAGTTTTTCCTATAGTTTTTCTAAGCTTTTCCATCCAACAGGATTTGAGATACGACACTTGAATCTGTTTTTTCTTCTTCTATTTTGTGTGTTGAAAATCCTGTTTTTCAAATGAGCACTGATTGTTTACTGTTTACTTTTTAGTGCCCTGGTCATGTTTGTCACTTTGGTATTTTCTTATTGGTAAAGAATCTTGACTATGCTGGCACAGTGCGTCCTGTCGCAACCTCATGTCAAGTGAAAAAGACAAGATCTAAGGGTTTACCTGTCGAGCAAAACATTTGAAATCTCTCCTATGAACAGTAGGAATAAAAAAAAAGAGTAATATGAAAAGCATAAAATTCTGACAGAGATATAAGTGTAAAACGGAGGATTCCAAACACGGTAATAGTTGTTTGATTGGACCGTATGAAAAACACAGAAATCGGATGAGAGAGATAGATTCAAAGGAATTTTTCCAAGAGGTTTAACATTTTGCTAAGTTTCCTCCAAAATCTACATGTAATGATCTATTCTATAGGAATTTTATACGATTTGGAAAACTCTAATCCTTTGAATCAAAAGGCCAAATAGGAAAATTCCTATAGGATTTCTATCCTATGAAATTTCTCCATAAATTCTTTAATTCAAAGGGACCTTACTATGTGATAAATTGCCACAAGCCTGGACAAGTTTGGTAACCGCTTCTATGGGTTGTTCGCGATGCCAACACCGAATACCTCGACGCGCTCCTACCGAAGGAGTTCGAGGTCGGTGGGGAGGGCATCGTTGTCAATACCTTTTTTTAATAGTGAATAAAAATCTCACCTCTATATCTAAAGGAGAAAATATATACGGCTATTTCATCAATACACAGGTGCCCCAGCTGGATGTCCTTTGCCACCTTACAACCGACACGTTTGTGACGCACTACGGGTGGAACTTGGTGCAAAAGGGGATCATTACAGGTATGCCCATGCTCTACTGGCCGCTGTATGTGGAGCTGACGATTAACAAGGTGCTCAAGGTTGACTACATGGGCATCGACGTGGAGATGGAGGGATGGCTGGTAGGGCTGGTGATTCCTGAGGAGGTGAAGGTGAAGGTCAGACTGATCATAGAGTCCGAGCATTGAAAGCAAGCTTAGAGAGCACGTTGAGGCGCACAGAGATGATCATGTAGAACCCACGGCCTCGAAGGATGGCGGTTCGTTATTGTGCCACGTTTGCGCAACTCATATTCGAGTTAGACAACGCACGAGAATAAAAAATGGTAGGAGTATGAAATTTACTAACGGTAATTACTATTTTTTATTATATATTGATTTCTTTTGTGCGGATAATTAAATATAATGTCTTAGAAAATGGACTGCCACTCTAATATATACGGCTTTGATAGGTTAAGTTATGGCTTATCGATCAACCATAAAACATAAACCAAAAAATTATAATGGTTTGTGGATTATTATTATATTTTTATTCTTAGTAGTTTAAAAGAAATGCATCATATCAAATAGCCTACGATGAAATACCTAAAATTGAGTTTAAAATTTTAAATTTTAGTTACATCTCATAAGTCAACGAACAGATAATGAGACATTATATTATTAATCTTACTAGCATGCGTAGAATATTCTCAAATATGTCTTTTAAGAGGATTAGTATGTTGAATATGCTAGAGAGTACACATTTTCTCTCTGATTTACGAGTCTAATGACTGATTCTTGAAAAAAGTTGTTTCTATAAGCCGTATCAAATAAACACCTAGGCCATTCAAAGGAAGCGCTAAGGCCATGGCGAGAGGGCCACCCACCCATTTGCAAAAATCAATTTTATCGATAGAAAAAATCGATAATGTAGTAGTGTCAGCACAACTGTAGTATTAAATTAAAGGAGTGTGAGCGTCATCAATGATTCAGTGTTAACTACTCCATTTCTAGAAAACGATGTTCATTTGAGTCCAGATCAATCTTCCTGATACGTTGTTTTCAAGTATCGACGTACGTGAGGTGGGTGTGTCCAAATTACGAGTATATAAATAAGATTTATTCTAGCTCCACATGGCTAGTTAGTATTGTTGTTTGAGCCGTATATTTTCTGTCGACAAATATCCAATTATATTGTAATTTAAATAACTAATAATGATATAACTTAAAAAAATCTCTTGGTAACACGTTGCTTCCACAAAATGAAGATCGTGGGATCGAATCCTCCCACGTACGTGCACGTTGTAGTAGATATTTTCCTTTCTCTGCTTACATAAATCTCGAAGTAAATTTAATTGTTCAAAATTATATAAAAGCTACGTACAAGTTATATCCTACTTACGTGTAAATTGAAATTACATTGTAATTTACATTTGATGATTGTTTCGAGAGAATTTGTGGAAACTTGAAACCTACTCCCTCCGTTCTATAAAAACTCAACTGTATTGGATGTGATACACCTAATACTATGAATGTGAACATATATTTATCTAAATTCGTTGTACTAACATATGTCGCATACAGTTCTGATTTGTTTTATTCGACGAAGGGAGTAAATAACAAGAGGGTAAGCAGGAAGAAGTTCCTCCGAGTGCTACTCGTACGAAGAACAGAGAGAACTCGAGAGGTTTCATTCAGTGCCGAAGCTAGCTATTCCACTCCGGTGCGTTTGCGATGAAGAAGACGGTGGTTCTCTACCCCGGCCTCGCCGTCGGCCACTTCAACCCCATGATGGTGCTCGCCGACGTCTTCCTGGACCACGGCTACGCCGTCGCCGTCGCGCTCATCAACCCGTCGGTCAAGGACGACGACGCCGCCTTCACCGCCGCCGTCGCCCGCGCCGTCTCCTCCAAGAGCTCGGCCACCGTCTCCTTCCACATGCTCCCGCGCATCCCGGACCCTCCCTCGCTCGCCTTCGACGACGACAAGTTCTTCACCAACTACTTCGACCTCGTGCGCCGCTACGACGAGCACCTCCACGACTTCCTCTGCTCCGTGCAGGGCCTCCACGCCGTGGTCGTCGACGCGTCGTGCGGTTTCGCCATTCAAGCCGTGAGGAAGCTCGGGGTTCCGGCCTACGAGCTCTACCCCTGCGACGCCGGCGCCCTCGCCGTGAACATCCAGATCCCTTCGCTTCTTGCTGGGTTCAAGAAACTGGGAGGAGGAGAAGAAGGCAGCGCTCCCCTCGAGTTGTTGGGCGTGCCACCCATGTCGGCTTCTCACGTGACGGACTTGTTCGGGCGCTCGTTGAGCGAGCTGATCAGCAAGGATCCCGAGGCCACCACGGTGGCCGCGGGAGCGCGCGTCATGGCGGAGTTCGACGGAATCCTGATTAACACGTTCGTGTCGTTGGAGGAGCGTGCGCTGCGAGCTCTCGCCGACCCACGTTGCTGCCCCGACGGCGTGGTGCTCCCGCCGGTTTACGCCGTGGGGCCACTGGTTGACAAGGCCGCCGCCGGCGCCGGTGACGAGACCAGCCGGCGGCACGAGTCCCTCGTGTGGCTCGACGGGCAGCCCGACCGCAGCATCGTGTTCCTCTGCTTCGGGAGCATCGGCGGGAACCACGCGGAGCAACAGCTGCGGGAGATCGCCGCCGGCCTGGACAAGTCCGGCCACCGCTTCCTGTGGGTGGTTCGTCGGGCACCCAGCACCGAACACCTCGACGCGCTCCTACCGGAGGGGTTCTTGGCAAGAACCAGCGGCCGCGGCCTCGTCGTCAACACCTGGGTGCCCCAGCCGAGCGTCCTCCGCCACCGCGCCACCGCCGCGTTCGTGACGCACTGCGGGTGGAACTCGGTGCTGGAGGGGATCACCGCGGGCGTGCCGATGCTCTGCTGGCCAATGTACGCGGAGCAGAGGATCAACAAGGTGCTCATGGTGGACGACATGGGCGTCGGCGTGGAGATGGAGGGATGGCTGGAAGGGTGGGTGACCGCCGAGGAGGTGGAGGCGAAGGTGAGGCTGGTCGTGGAGTCCGAGCATGGAAGGAAGCTTAGAGAGCGTGTCGAGGCGCACAGAGATGGCGCAGCCATGGCCTGGAAAGATGGCGGCTCGTCGCGTGTCGCGTTCGCCCGACTCATGACCGAGTTGGACAATGCACAACGATGAAAATGGTAGTAGTGCATAATTTCTCAACCGTACGTACTGATTTTTTATATTGATTGTATTATTCCTATATTTTGAAATATCGATAATCGAAATGAAAATGTTAGATGGGTTTTCATCTATCGATGTACTGATTTTATCCGAATTTTTTAAATAAATAACCGTCAATGGAGACAGCCCATCCAAATGTAATAAAACTTAGATGTAATCCTTATGTGTTAGTATTAGTTTTTAAGCAATGTCATGGTCATTAAGTATCTAAATTATTTTCTTTTTACTTTCAATCCTCACTAATAGTTGCATATGAGGCAAAATTCCTTAACATGAAGTTCGCTTTTCACAAGTGTGCAACGTATCCGAGGTTCTATTCCGATATTTTGCAATGTTTCGATAGTTGATAAGGTTTTGCTAGCTTTACGGTTTTCAAGAAAACATTTGTTGCCCAATCAGAACTACTCGGATTGTATCAATATTTTACCTTTCAGTTCTATTTGAATAAAAGGGCATCCGGGAATATAAATACCAGAAGACAAGACCTACAAGGCAAGCCTAATACGAGCGAAGAGAGATCTAGAGCCACCTCCAAATTCACCGAGTCGATTCTCAAGAAACTAGACAACAGCTAACCATCAACCACCATGTCCAAGTTTTAAGTTGATATACTAGCAAATTGGATTAGATTTCCATCCTATTTGTACCTGTGAGATATTGATATATAATGGTAACATCAACTCCGATCAATAAGAGTAGGACTATTACCCATCATCAAAAGGTCTGAACCTATATACAAATCATTGTCTCCCTTGCTCTCTTTATAGCATCCAACCTCTACGTCCTCCAGACAAACCGTATAGGTATGGATCCTGTGATTAGAATATAATCCATCGACATAATTATATGTATTGTTCTTTCACATTTTGTTAAATTAAAAATCAGGTAGCTAGGGGGCCGGGGCACATGATAAAAATTGACCGGGGCACCTAGTGTAAGCATTCTATGCTTGGACCTACATCGGGTGATGTGATGGCGAGTGAGGAAGGGATTACGTTGAACCACAACTTGATAGCTAATGGAAAGGGCTTTAGAATTTAGGCACACCGAGTAACAATTAGCCGACTAGGGCGTGGCGGCACAGATCTGTCATGATGTGCAATGCGACTTGGTGAGCAGGGTGATACACTGCTATTGCCAAACAGGGAGTAGTCGAAGGAAGTACCACGGTTCACTAGTGTTTGTGAGTGGGGACTCATCCGCCGTCTAGGCGGCCACTTGTTGCACGCGCTGCTCCTCCTCCTGAAGGTGATTGTAGGCTTCGTGGAAACGCAAAAAATTTTTGTGAGCTTAGGACACATCAATTTTTCGCTTCTCCATCTTGATTTGACGTTGATTGCCAATTGGATTGAGGGGATGGGAGTAAATGATTCAATTCTTGGTAGAGAATGAAAACAGATGAGTGGGGCCTTCTTCCTAGATGGTGTGGGGGCCCATACGTCATACATATAAGGTATACATCTTACATGTAAAAATTAATTGGAGTCCTAGGCCCCATCAACTAAATCCCTAAGTGTAACGCTCCGCTTTTCGTGAGACGTTAAAAACTAGTTTAAGAAAAATCCTAATTGCGGAAATTTCGTTCTTTGTGTGCGAGTCTAAGTCGTGCCGTGGATCTCAATTCAAATCCTGTTGTTTTCTCTCATCAAAATCAAAATCCTCCACCTCAAAATTTCTCTTCCAATTCAAGTCTCCAAATCAAATTCCGAAAATTCAATCCCTCTCTTTGAATCCTTGCCAAATACCTGTTCCCAATTCCCATTTTAGTTCCTTCCTTGACTCCACCTTGTGTCCCTAAGACCAAGCATCAAATTCGAAATCCAAAATCCAAATCCCTCCCAATTCAATTTCTCTGTGAAAGTCTATTTTGCCTCCTCATATTTTGGATGGGCCGGATCCCCTCCCCTCGGCCCACCTCCCCTCAACCGTCCTCCTCCCTCGCTCCGCACGTGTGGCGCACGCGCGTGCGCCGACGCCAAGCCGAGAGTCTCTCTCTCTCTCTCTCTTTCGTTCTTCTCTTCCTCTCCCCTCTCATTCTCGCCCTCCCGGCGTTGATCTCTCGCCGCCGCCTTTTGAATTTCGCCGCGCCCTCGCCGCGTCAAGCCCTAGCACCGCCTGTGCCCGCGCTGCCTCCCGGCCCGCTGCCGCCTGTGCGCATGCGTCCCAGGGATGGAGGCAGAGCCCTCGGCCTCGCTCCCCTCTCCCTCCTCCTTTTCCCGTTTGAGCCCCCCTTTCCCCCTCCATTTTCCACTTTTGCCCGACACCACCCGCGTCATCGCCTGCCGCCGCCTTGGCCATTAGCGTGACCGCCAGCTCCTCCTCCTTGACCGTGCAAGGTCGGTTCCCCCCCCCAAACCGACATTGCCCCCTTTATAATCGAGCCCCCTCTCCAATCTCCCTTCCTCTCGTTTTCGCTTCCATCGCCACCGCGCCATTGACGCCGAGCCATCTCTGCCACTCGTCGCCGTCACCATCCTCGCTGTTGCGCGTGCCGGGAAGCCGGCGTGCGCGCGGAGCGGAAGAGGACTCTGGGCGCCATCCCTTCTTCCCCTTCCCCGGCCCGAGGCTGGAGAGCTCTCCCACGCCGCCGCCGCTCGTCACGGCGCCCTGTCCCGACGCGGTAGCCCTCCGTTCCTCTTCCTCGCTCATCCTCGTCCCCTCTAGCTTGCGCAGTAGCTCGGTAGCCGTCCCGAACGCGCATAGACGCCGCCCCAATGCCCGCCGCCGCCCGGCGCGGCCTCGCCGCCATTGCCGCCCGCTCCCAGAGGTAGCTCGCCGTCGCCGGCCTCCCTTGGAGGTCCATTGCCCCATCCGGCGCCGGAAATGAGTTCACCGAGCCCCGGATATGCTCCCGCCGCCTCGAATCGAACCCTCGTTGACCACCGGCGATTCCCCTCTTTTGCCGCCGCCAACGGTCACCGCCGCAATCCGCCGCCGTCGGACCTCCTCCGTCGCATCCGAGCCATGGGATCGTCCCCTCTCGTCCGCCTCTTTGTCCCGGTGTGCTCCCCCATGACCGAAGACCGTCGATCCGTGCTCCGGTGAGACCCCCGCCGCCCGCCGTCCATCTCGGCCGGCCTCCTTCTTCCTCCTCTCGCCGGCCTGCGTGGCATGCCATGGAGGTGCCACGTCAGCGCCACCTCAGCAAAGACCGAGTCAAGGCGGGTCCGCTCTCTCCTCCCTCTCGGTGCGCTCAGTCCACGGAGAGCCTAGCGGCTGCGCGTTGGCTCGCCGCCCTTTGGTCCACCCGGTGCACCAAACCATGCGCCACTCCGACCCTAACCCTAGCCCCCCGCGCCACGTGCACGCTCCGCACCATGCGCTGTGTCGACCGACACATGGGCCCCACCCGGAACCCGCGAGGTGGACCGCGTCCACCCGGCCGGTCTCCCCCCTCCTCCCGAACCCTAATGGGCCCGCACCGGCCCAGTAGCTCGGCCGAGCCGCGCGCCTTTCCTTGGGCCGCGCCTAAGCCGCCCGAGGAAGTCCAATTCGCATCCCTCCTTCCTTTCCTTTTCCAAAGGAATTGATAAATCCTTTTTCCCTTTTCCATAAATCAATTCTCTATTCCAAGATTCCATAAATCATTTCCTTTGGTCCCGCACATCAGCGAATGCCAATAATATTCTTGAGAATATTATTTCTATAAATTCCAATAAATCATTTCTCGTCCAGAAAATCCATTTAAACTTCCAAAATTCATATCTCTCGATCCATAGCTTCGTTTGACTCCGTTCAACTTCCAGTAATTCCGTAAAATTAAGATCTATCTAATGGCACTATTAGTTAGTCTAAATAGGGTCATTCTTTTGATCTTTTGTTTAGGTTTTTGATTGTTTGCGTATAGTTGCGGTTGCGGATTTTCATCAATCAAGGATTTCTCGAAGATTCGTTAAGCTTCGTGAAGACCTTGAGCAAGGCAAGTCACCCTTTGATCAATTGCTCCTATAATTGAAAAATCAATATATTTTGTTTGCAACTTGCATTATTAGAATCACTCCTATAACATGCTTGGCCTCGGTTTGCATGTCAAACCGACGGACCTACCCAGTAGTCGCACTAATTCCTGTAGGTTGTACTACCCTGATTCCTTGTCACTCCACCCTTGTGGTACCTCGGTATCCGTGCTCTCTGAGCGCGTATACCAAATATCCCACATACACCGTTGATTGTCGAAAATTTGGGAAATGGGTTTGAGAAGCCTTGAAAACCCGACATGTGGCGTCGGTGGGTTTGAAAATAAAATGAACTGCGAAAACTCTCGATGCGGGGGTTGTGCCTGGCACTGTCCCGTATTCGCATATAAGGACCGATTCCTGTGGGAAACTCATCGAACATAATCAAAGTGCAACCATAAGGTGGAATGGGACACCCTGGCTAAGTAACTAGTCAGTTCAGGGAAACCTCGCATGCCAATAGTTGGGAACGCCGGGGCGGGGTCGGTTGGAGCCAAACCGGGTTTCTGGTAAGGCAAGGAAGAGAAGCTTGCCAGATTACCGATCGAGGTGGTTGGAGTTTGATTTGTGAAAACTAAAATGGCCTATATTTATGTGAGGATTTGATCCTTCTATGTGGCATGAGGTATCCCTGGGTCGGCTTGGGAATGGCTTTGTTGCGAACCTCCGATACCGACGGGTGTTCGGAATAAGTTCGTATCTTGTGGGTAAAGTGTACCCCTCTACAGAGGTTAACTAACTGTTCGAACAGCCGTGCCCACGGTCATGGGCGGATGTGAGGTGGTTCCCGTTGTGTAGATTTGTTTGCCTGTGCTTTGTGAAAAGTTATTGTGGTGTGGGAATCGTAACCAGAATCAGCCTATGAGGCAGATGGATGACCTGAGTGGTCAGAAACGAATTTGTGTGATTCGGGATGTCTACGGGCATCATAGACTAGGCTTCCCGAGTGGAAGCGGATTGTTGTGCTGCTGGGCAGCTGGACTCTGGGAGTTCGAGAAAATGAAAAAGGCTCTGGGAGCCGCTTAATCAAGTGAAATGGCTCTGGGAGCCGAGAAGTAATGATCTGACCCGGGAGGTCGGTACATTACCATTTGAGTTGTTGACCCGGGAGGTCGGTACATTACCATTTGAGTTATTGAAAAGCATCTCTTAAGTCGAATCGAGACGCAAGTCTCCTTTCGACCCAAACTTAAAAATAAATAAATCACTTAGTGATTTCAAAATGCTTTCAAATAAAAGATTTGCAAAACAACCTTGCCTCTC